CCTTGTAGCGTCTACAGTAGCTTTTTTATTCATTTCACGTTTCAGTTCCTCAGGTGTCTTTCTTCTAAACACATCGGAGAGCGCAACAATTTCTTTTCGTTCAACCAGCACTTTTTTTCGTCTTTTGTTTGCTGCTTCTACTTCGTTTTCTAGCGCTGCAGGAAGATCGAGCCGCAAAAGATGATTTGGATGTATGTTTATGCTGAACATACCCTCATACATGTGTCATCAAAACAAATTGCGAATTATAGCTTCTAGTGAGGAAATTTTTCCATTATCTAATATAATTACTCACATATTTCCGTGCTTTTTGGAAAATAAGGACATTTGATCGTATATTTGACACCATCGCATATGGTCCTATACTTGAATTCAAATTAGGTAACAAAACTGTTGTGAAAATCAAACTGGGCACACCAATGCTGTTACTAAGAAATGATTGCTCGCATACCCTTTTGTTCTTATCTGGCAGACATTTAGCGCATTTAGCCCAATCTAGCAATATCCGCATCACATATAGCATTTCATGTCGGTCAAGAGGTGCTCCATTACAAAATTCTGAAATTGTAGTTAATAAAACCATTTTGTTATAAATCGATGTAGTACCAATATGCGTGTGTACATAAGTACAACTATGTATTACCAGTGCGTCACTTCTGCTTCGCAGAGGCTCGCACTGGTCTTACTTTATATGCTTTACTTGTTCTCGCCTAATGATGTCTTTGAAACTCACCGTGCAATGACGACTACCACGAATGAAATGTAAACAACTACTCATTTTAAAGGGTTTTTCATGTGAGATCGGTAATTTCGCGTGGATGGAACTTTTCGCAGAAGAACAAATGCAAATTCGATTAGGTTTTTGAACTTCTCTTGGCTTGGTAGTCGCCATAAGGACAACAATTACCGTGAGCTACATTTCTATGCAAAAATCCTCTCAAATGGTCAGGTAAAGCCACGGCGGATTGACCATTTGCGCAACCATTTCTTTTTGGCGTCATTCTGGTATAGTAGTAGACCTTTGGTCACTTTTTCGCCTAAAGTCCATGTCTTGCACATCAACATGCCAAGCTCATCCACGACTTTGCAAAAAGCGTTGATACAGACCCACTTTTGCGGGCCAGAAGCCAAGTGGATCCGTCTGACTCGCAGATTCTGATGGATCCATTCAACGAATCTGCTCGTGATTTTGTACCGTGAAGTTCTACGCTGGTAGCATGCGCTGTGCAAAATTTGGGCTCAGGACATTGGCTGGAACTCTATGAATTTCGTTACAGACAGACGGACACACACACATAAAGTCACGTAAACACCCTTAGCCCGTTGTTATAAGTTATGATATTGGGTTGATTCATAATTGATGCACGTTTTTCTCACCTCTTCTTCCAAGAGGTGGTATTTGATGTGTAATCAATTCCCTCAAAAACGTTTAATGATGTCTGAAAGAGCGTTTTTTCTAGTTTCTTATTTGGTCCTTCGCTTCCGTACATCTCCGTTCATTTCAAAGTTCTGAGCCTTTACATAAAAGACACAAATCCCCAAATTTTTGCTTTTTACTCTTTTTGTCCCAAATCCATGAGGAATAACAAAATCAATCATTTATAAAAAATATGCATAAGGATTGGGAAACTTTGTGCTACAAGATGCTTTTTGAACAAAATTCTCCTTGAATTGTGAGTCGAGGAATTTGATTGCGAACTTGAATGATCGCCGCTGCCCTTCCGTGCCATATAAAACTTTAAAGCAAAAGGCGATTGCAGGTCTTTTGCATTATCCAGCAAGGATAGACCTAGTTCATTTGATGGTAGAAAAGGGCTAGGGTTTTCTCACTTTCTAGCGGAGGTAAATGGAATGATTTCAAAAATGACCGATTTTTGAACCAGCCGAGATGCCAGAAAAAAGTGAGTACTTGCGATTTTTTCGCGATATTTTCCTTCGAAATTTTTTTGTAAAATCCAAGCTTGGCATTACTGCTCAAAAGACCCTTGGCTACACGATGAGCGAAGTTTGCTTTATCCTACTTCATTTCAACATAAGTTACTTTCTCTCAAAGTAGAGGCTTTCGAAAAAAAGTTGTTGGCAGTCTCCAGGCCAGAAAATCTTTTTTTGTGATAGATATAGTCACGCAAAAGTATCTTTTTTATAGCCACTAATTTGACGGTTACAGTAGTTTTTATTGCGCCCAGAAATGTCTATTGAAAAAGAATTATCTTGGTTGAAACTTGAAGTATTGACAACGTGCATTAATTATGAATCATATTAGGTCGTTCCAAAAGTAATTTCGCTTTTTTCAAACGGACGCCACATTTGGTGGAACAAAGATTTCTAAGAGCTTTTGGTAGCATTCGATGCAGCATTTCATCCTCTATTTAACAGTAATGAAAGCGTTGCAATGCAGTCAATGCAGTCAACGAGCTTTCGAAAAATAACCAAAATCTACGACGCATGCTTTTTGAGATGGTCAATTTTCACAATTTTTCAAATCTTTCATACCAATCCTCAGAAGGAGTTCAAAGTGACGATTCGATAGAGCAAATTTTATAGGATACAGCACAACTTTTTTCTCTTTATCATAGCTCGCCGTAATTTTTTAAAAGATTTTTCAACAAAGCCATCGGATTTTGGCAGGACTGGCATGGCATCAGTCACCATCGCGTCAAACATCATAATTATTCGGAATTTGAGACTATAAAGATGGTACCGTGAGTTAGCACTAATTTTGCAAAGCAAGTGAAAGTTTACGGATTCGAAATATCAAATTTGGAGTTTTTCGGGCACAGCCCAGACTGGTTGAAAAAATTAGTTGTGATGATTTTATGCCCGAAAACTAAACGAGTCGGAAACAAAAACAACCTTCAAAAGAGGAGAAGATGCTGCATCAAGTAGTGCCCGAGCTGTTCTTCCTTTGATGTTCTATGACTACTTAGCCGTCCAAGTATGGAAATCGGTAGCATCAGTTAAAATTCTGTTAAAAATGTATGACAAGCTATGGGAAGGAGAAAAAGTTTGGCATTCTGTAGGGTTTGCTCTATAAACATGTTACTTGTGTTTTTTTTTCGGAGGATGATAAAAAAATTTAGAAAAACTGTGAAACTTGACCATCTCAAAAAGCATAGGTCGCAGATTTTGGTTATTTTCTGAAAGCTCATTGACTGTATTGCAACATTTTCATAACTATTAGGAAAAGGATGAAATGCTGTTTCGAATGCTACCAAGACCTCTTGAAAATGCTCCATCAAATGTGGCGCCCGTTTGAAAAAAGCGAAATTACTTTCGGAATGACCTAATATTAGGTTGATTTATAATTAATGCACGTTTTCTATACTTCAAATTTGAACTAAGACAAGTTTTTTTTGAGAGGAGATTCCTGAGTGCAATAAAAACTATTGTAACCACCAATTCAATGGCTATACAACAGATACTTTCACTTAACTATATCTATCATAAGAAAGATTTTCTGGCCTGAAAATTGCCAAAAATTTTTTTCGGAAGCCTCTACTTTGAGAGAGGATAACTTATGTTGAAATGAAGTAGGATGAAGCAAACTTCACTCTCCGTGTAGCCAAGGGTATTTCAAGTAGTGGTGCCAAGCTTGGCCATCACAAAAATTTTTGAAGAAAATATAGCGAAAAAGTCGAAAGTACTCACTTTTCTGGCATCTCGGCGGGTTCAAGAATCGGTCATTTTTGAAATTATTTCATTTTTTCTCCGCTGTGAGAAAACCCTAGCCCTTTTCTACCATCAAATGAACTAGGGCTACTCTTGCTAAATAGTGCAAAAGATCTGCAATCGCCTTTTGCTTTAAAGTTTTATATGGCACGGAAGCACGACGATCATTCAAGTTCGCAATTGAATTTCTCAGCTAAAAATCCACGGAATATTTTGTTCAAATAGCATTTTGTAGGACAAAGTCTCCTGCTCCTCACGCATATTTTCTAAAATCAATCCATTTATTCCTCATGAATTTAGAGCAAAAAGAGTGAAAAGCAAAAATTTTGGGATTTCGTCTCTTTTACTTGAAGGCTTAGAACTTTGGTACGAAAGGAGATGTACGAAAGCGAAGGCCTACCTAAGAAACTAGAAAAAATGCTCTTTCAGAAAGCGTAAAAAGCTTTCAAGGAAATTGATCACACATTAAATACCAGCTCTTGGAATAAGAGGTGAGAAAAACGTGCATAAATTATGACAACTATACGAAAAGTTTATTCGTTTCTGTACTCTCGATTCAAAAAGGCATTACTTTTCCAGATTCTTTTCCCCACCAAGTAACGTTGACTGTGTCCATATCTGTGGCAGGCTTCTGGAGGATTCGTATTTGTTTGGCACGAGTTTGTTGCATTGCGGACTGAGGCATAACCAAAAAAAAAGAGTGGGGCATCATTCAATAGACAAAGCGAGTTCTCGAGAATGAGCCCTAACTTTTGCACAAAATAAATCTTAGGAGTGAAGTCCGCTTAACCGAAGTGGTTCGGAAGATGATATATACCTAAGGTTGAAGCTAGAACGCTGATCTCAAATTGATCTCAAATATACCTTCCATATCCGGGAAGAACTTCTACAAGAAGTTAGGGGTTTTTGCACTTAAGACGGAAGTGTAGCCTTAAAAGAAATAACGACTCGTGGATAACAATATGATTGGACAACACTGGAAAACAATCTAGATTACATCATATTAGGCCAGCAATGCATATAGGTGGTTTGCATCAGCAGCACTTTTATGTAGTTAATGTGGAGATTAGTGTGTTTGCGACTCAAAATGCCCGAAAGTTCAGCATAAAAAGTTTATAACTATTTTCAGAAGAATGCTTCGCAGATATTTAAAGTAAATCTCAGATCAGCGTTTAGCTTTATCTGCTGGTATAATCATCTTCCCAATCGTTTTTTCGACCCTTCCATCTCAGACAATTGCGTCGGGATGTTCGCGGGTGCTTGCCCGATCACCAATCACCCATGCCGCGAACTGCCCGGTAAACCGATTTTGGACTCGATTAGTGACCGCCGGCGTATCCTGCAAGCGCCCGTTGAGCGCCTATATAAGGGAGTGAATAAACCTTTTAGCCTATCTATTACGATAACGCCTTAAGTGCAAATCGACCAGCTTGTTTGCTCGTCTGTCAGACCCATCTAAAGTCCTCGAAAATACTCGCTCTACTGTTGAAGTTCACTTCGAAAGCATAGAAACTCAACTCTATCTAGAATCAGATCCAAGAAAAGATATCCCGCTTGATAAACACTTAGGGCAGTCCCATTGTTGCGGCGTACCTCACGCGAGTTGCGCTTTCATCTACAGCGTGTAAGAAGGCGGCATTGATAAGGCCGGCGGCCCGCCAAGTGATGTGGTTGGACTGCGACTCTCCCGATAATCTCTTTCCAAAATCAACTTTGGCCGCTTCCAGGTCAAATTTACATGGGCCGCGGCGTGCGAGTTTAAGGGCCGCGGCTCGTTACGCGAAGATTTTGAGGGTCGCGGCGCGCCATGTAAAGCGCTTTGAGGCTGCGAACTTTCCGATGCAATTGTCTGAGTTGTCCCAAAGCTGAGTCCAACTTGCTCACTCATATACAGGCTGTATCAGTCAGCATCCGTCCCGCGCCAGTATGACTTGCGACGACGCACCGTCACACGCAACGTGACTTAAAGGCAGCGGCTTGGCAGGTTTTCGGCTTGAAGTTTTCTTGCTTACCTGGGGTAATTCGAGGCGCTGATTCTGAAGGTTCACCTTGAAGAGCGCGAAAATGGCATAAACCACCATTTCTCAAGGCATACCATTTCGAAATTGGACGAGTGGAGCATGCCCCGCCGAGGTTAGAGAGGCAGAATCGTTGCGGGACCCTCGCAGTTATAACATTGCGGCATGTCTTCTCAGGGACCAGGGAGAATTGCAAGCTCGTCCGAGCGTATTAGAATGGTTTGCGCAAAAGAAATCTTCATATCCTGAAGTTTCAGATATCCTGGATTTCACGCTATCTGCCTACCAGTAAGTGTTCCCACCACTTACCCTCCACGATAAACATGTTGGACAGAAGCGAGAAACTGTACAAGCAAATGAGTCTCTTGCTGAGATATCGAGATTAACAATAAACTCCAACTTTCGACCTGTGATTCACCGAATTTCATGACTCCGAGTCATCAATTGTTCTTAACAGCAATATGCTTAGCATTGCTGGGTTAGATGAACAGTACAGCTTTAGAATGTTTTTATTGACTTCGAAAAAACTTCCTCGGCGGATCATTAGGGGATCATCCAAAAAGCTGGAAAATGCGGCTTGTACAGCTTCTTGCTCCCGTTCAATATGTTCGTAGTGAGGGATGGTAGGAATACTTACGGATAGGTAGACAGCATGAAATCCAGATATCCGGAGCTTCAGAATATGAAGCTTTCTTCTGAGCTGCGATCCTCTCCCCGGCGGCGATGTTGATGCATGTGGCCCTGAAAGTCTAGCTAGGCACTCGCTGCTAAGTTCGTTTAAAACTTCTGCCGTAGTTGGTGAACTATTTGCATCGAGATGAATCTTATTGCGCGTGGACCCACCGCCCTCGTGCTGAGACGTCACGCAAAACCTTGCAAGTTTGCAAGTCGTCCGCTAAATACTATACCGAGGATAGGTGTATAAACGCCGCCTTTGTGAACGAATGAGCGATCTAAAGCGCGGTGACTTGCAAAAACAGTCGTCCATGGCATAAGCAAAACCTCAATTTCAGGCAAGAAGTACAATGCAGAGTTGTATGCTCGTGGTGTTATATCCCGTGATTTCGTCTTTGCTTATCTCTACAAAGCCTGCATCACTCGTTATGAATGTCCATAGGAAAAGCAAAAAGGTCTAGGTTACTTCAATTGTATAAAAATACTTCAGTCACTCCAGTAAATTGTAGAAGTGCTGCGCCAGACGACAGATTGTTACGGAGGGCCTCAGATTATGGGAAAAAACGTACGAGTATGAAGACGAAATGCATCAACCACATTCATCGCTGCTTTTCCCGAAGTAATGATTTTATGAAAAAAGTACAGGAGAGAAAAGACTTCTTTTCTTCTGTTGCTTGTACATACCTGAAGTAATATCGCTAATGTTCCTGAAATTAAAAGATACTTATGCTATTGTAGCAGAAGCAGAAAGTAACAAGAAATGGATTTTTAAAAACAGCACGATAAATTATCTCAACACTTTTTTTATGCCTGATTATAACATGGATTGACGTGGCCCTCTGCTAGGCATCTGCGCCACTTTTTGCGGGCCTCCTTGGTTGAGTGTCTTCTTGCAGCCCATGACAGCTGATTTGGCGGGATGTCCAGATTCTTGGTTGTGTTTTTCTATAGTTACGCTATTGTAGCAAAAGCAGAAAGTAACAAGAAATGGATTTCAAAAAAACAGCACGATAAGTTATCTCAACACTTTTTTTACTCCTGAACATAACATGGATTAGATCTTTCATTTACGTCTCACCTAAAAAACATATTGCGTAATAGAATAAACAGATCGAAATGCCATAGGTACAACAACACCACATTGCTCTCAAAGAGTACTTCTGCCATCACGCTGCTACAACTAATGATTTCCACTCGTCTGCTGTCTCAAAATTGCGAGGTACACTCCTGGGTGCATGGTGCGAGCTTAAGAGTCAGCCCAGCTAGAGCAGACCACCAAAGGTCATCATATTGGGTTGATCATTCCCACCTATCTGACAGCGCCATTCGAAGACGTCAGGATGCAACCGTCAGTGTTATCCAAGGGCAGACGCATACAGCTCTAGAACGCCCCAAAAAGCCTATACAGAGTAAGGGGAGGGGGAAGTCACAGGTGCAAAAGCGAGGTGTCCATGAATTCTCTCAGCATAAAAATGAATACGACAAGATATGAAGGCCGTTTACGACTTTGTAGTTGTAACGCACGGACGTTATTCTCAGCTTACAAGCTCTGTTTCTCCTAAACGCCTCCCCAACGATGTAACTGCACTGCGGGAAGCAAAAAACAGAAGTTCCAGCACAAGAGGAAGGGTGGAACTCTTATCATATAGAGGGAGAAGGTCCCAATGCGAAACATGGAGACCCTGAGTTCTGCCACACCCATCCATTAGCCACCTCATCGGCTCTCGATTCGTCACCGCGATTAATAGCCTTCCAACTTGCCGCTCAGCGTTAGGAAGAGGTAATCGTCATCAACTGTTATTCGCTACAGAAGCAGCCAAAAGCGAGCTCGACAAGTTCTACGAGAAGCTTGAAGACACTAAATACAAGGAGTAGCTGATTTCACCATCAGCGACTAGAATAAGAAGAAAGAGTAGATAAGTACAAGTCTGAAAAGATGGCAGAATTGAAAGATTTAGTCTGGTAAGTCGAACCGAGAATGCAAGCAGACTAGTTGGACTATTACAGCATCTCGTTTATTTTATCGGATTTTTTTAAAAGAAAGAACCTTGCAGTTGAACATGAGAGCACTAAATTTCGCATCACATGCAGAGATCGACCATATACTAGTCAATAGGAGATTTTATTGACATCGACGGATTCTGTATTCACAACTTGAAATGATACACTTGATAATCTCGTAACACAATTCAAAGGCGAAGTTCAAGTATTACAGTTTTTTTGAACCTGTGCTTGTTATATCGAAAAGTGGAAAGTAAATCCTCCCATCGCGCGAAGTTCAGAAGATAAGTTGTGCTTGATGAGCGCATATTCGAGAACGTCATTTTTAATGCAACTAGAGAGACAGCGAAGTTGCAACAGAAGATCCAGAAAAGCTTGTTGAAGGACTACACAGCTGTGCTGAGCAGGCTTTACCGTAGAACGAGGTAGGACATTTAACGGACAACGTCGAAAACCTTTACAAAAGGGAGAAGCCTGCGCAGATTCGCGCACATCCGTAGCAAAATTGTACAAGAGGTTCCCTGAAGCAAATTCCCAGCGCGAAATGGAAGAACGGATGATTTCTGCAACGGGCTTTTTCTGAATATGCCGATTTCAGACCCCGGCATCCGCATTTAAAAGCAGCTTCTAAAGATTCTTTCTTATAAACGCTGCCATAAAGTGCGTAACCAAACCAGCTCTTGGTCTGGATGGATTCACTGCCAACATATTGAAAGCTGGCGGTCACAAATTGCACAACACCCCTGCTGACAATTATGGACAGGTAATCCAAAAAAGGAAGCGGTACTCAATCAGTATAGGACATCCCACAAGCTTGCTACACAGAAAAAGCGGGGGAGAAGACCTTAAGAACTACCAAATAATGTTCGATGTGTTTACAAGCTACAAAGGTCATCATCCCGCACAATTTGAGGACGTTTGATGGAGAATTGACAGATCAAACAGAATCCTGTAAAGGATTCACTGCGTTAATAACATGCAAATCGCACCAAGTGAAGGTGAAGGTGAGGGTCTATCGACAACATTAACTCTCCTGCTCCTCACCTTTGTTGGTTACAAAGATACCTTTGATAGCGTGGAATGAGCGTAAAAGCGATGAACTAGGGAATGTATCTCATCTATATAAGGACCATAACAGACTGCGATGCAGGACACACCACAACGGTACAATTGTTCGATCACTCGCACCATCTCCATACCGAAAAAGAAGTACGACAATGTGAAACCTTATCGCCGAAGCTGTTCGCTGCCGCACTGCAATGGCATACAGTCGCTTGATTAGGAAGAGAAGGGGATACGAGTGGACAATACCTCTAAATCTCCTTTCGCATCTCCTTTTCCTTTTTTCTCCGACAATGTTGTGTCATTCTCAAAACACGTTAATTAAATCAAAGAGATGTCGAACGAGTTAGACGAAAATGGGAAAAGGACAGGAATCAGAATCAACAGGAAAATGACGCATTTTATGAGAAACACCTCGTGCAGCAAGGGCACTTGCATATGGATAAATCACCAGTGGAGAAGACGACATCCTAGGTGTGACTAGGACGCACTATCAACAGAAAGACATGAATGACGGACTCTGCAGGACACAGGCAGGAATCAGCAACTTCTGGAGCAAAATGAGCTCGCGAAAATAAAGTCAACACTGCTGGTTTTGTACTTAAGGAAGAAAATAACAGCCTTTGCATATAAATGGGATACCAGCTGATAAAGCTTTCATCCTTTGGTTTTGTTCTAGTTAACTCCATTTTTCCTTTTCCGGGCTCTCGATATCAAGGCTTAATTCTGGTGGGCTCAATTCTGGTGCTAATCCCTTCCGTTAACTCCAACTTCAGCAGGTAGTGATTCTATCACGGATTAACATTTCTAGTGGGAGGATCAAAGTACATCGAAGTAAGTACATTTACCAAAGATCAGTAACGAAATCAAAATGAGCAACAACCACCACAACAGCTTACCACTTTTCTACCACTTGACATCACTATAAGCCGCAAGAGTTCTATGAAATCCATAGGAAGTCTTTCGTTGGGCCTGAAAATAATTAACATGCTTCAATTTTGCTAGAAGAACGATTTTATGAGTTCTTCACAGCATCTTGACTGCTTAAAGTGTGTGAAGATGCAGCGTCGAGAAATGACACTTTGCTGACTCTGATCTAATAAAGTGAACAACGTATCGCTCGTCTTCGCTCGTATTCACCCATTCAGATTTTTCTCACCCCTTGATGTTTTTGGGTAGAATACGATAACTGGAAAAATAGTAGAAGAAAACCGCACTCTGTTTGCGCTAAACACATACCTATAGGCCTTCTAAACCAATTGACAGCCCTAGCTTCGATGGGGCTTTGAAGCGCGACAGCCTATTCACAACCGATAGCGAGCGCATACCTCCTATCATCGTATTTTCAAAAACTCCCAAAGGTACTGGTCAAAATTCAATGTGCAATGTTGAGAGCAACATGAACATAGTTTGGAAAAATTCAAGAACAAATAAGGGTCGCCTATGGTGCCTCGCAACAATCACCTATGCTGGACATGCGCAGCATGTTGCCTAAGTCTGCTAGCATTTAGAGCAAAGTGAGTGCGGCTTGCACACCTGAAAATAGGGTAAATAAACATAAGCTAGGCTTCAAAAAAAAAAGAGGAGATGCACTGCTTCCGCTAGAACGCTTTATTACAATATATGGGCAACTTGAAGAGCAGCAGAGTTTAAAAGTTGAAGTAGAGGTCCTAATCGTACGTTGCACGTCATGCAGTAGTATGACTATAAGTCTCTCCAATATGTCTTTTTTCTTTCAAGAAGTTCAAACGAAAAACACGTAGAAAAAACTGCAAAAACTTACCATTGGTAAGATATTAAGTCTAAATTTTTAACTTTGCGTTTGTTCACGTTTTTCGCCTCATATCTATAGTAAGTAGACTTCGCTGATAGTTGAGTGACTTCCAACAATTTGTATGCTATTGAGATATTCTCTTTGCCGTCTGCAAGGTAGCGTTCGATAAAGCATTTGAGGCATAAGGGTGACCGAAGAGTTCAGAATACCTCCAAGCAACTCTTGCAATAAAGAGAAGAGAGGAGAAATCGGTTTTAAGAATAACTTATGTAATTTTTCTTTCCATGCTATAAGAAATTACCCAAGTTTTAGGAAAGCAGTTTAATGATATTAATAATAATTACACATTTATAGACAAAAATGCAGCAAAAACATCGAAGTTTGCCTTGGTGTTCCTTAACTTTTCGGTCTACCTAAAACTATAGCTGACACACCTATATACAGGCAAAGATCGCCCACGTTGCTTGGAAGTCGCGCCACTACTTTGTTGACTCCAGGCTCTTCCGCAATCATTATGACCAAGTCATACTCCAGTAATTCTTGTACCCGACTCTGGAGAGGCTTGTCGTACTCAACCTCTCTTTTGATGGGTAGTTTGCCGTTCTGAAAAGTCATGCTGAGGAAATGCAGGTGTTTTCAGAGTTGTCAAAGTTGCCCTCAAACGCGGCCAATCTGATCGAATGTGGTACACTACAAATACAGTCGAGTAGTGGCGGATCGAGGAGGGGGGGGGGGGGGGGAGGCCCCCCCTTTTCCTAAAAATGGGCCGCGAAATTCTTGAGATTTACTCGCATGGGTTATCAAAATGTGCAAGTGACTGTCGCTACTCTCTTTTTCTAGACGTTAGGGGTTTTAGAAATTTCGAGAAGCGCCCCAAAAGTTTCCGCAGTCATCTGAAATTTTTTCCACTTCCCTCTCCCCTCCAGGAAATCTTATGATCTCCACTGCGTTTATAGATTCTCTGCTTGATATAGTGTCCCTGTAGACGCGGCAACGCTTGTGCGTAAGCAATTGCGAGTTTCAAAGCAAGTTTTTTCGCGACTTTGCTTAACCTGCGCTCTTCGGGTAGATCATTGCTGATAAAGAAGAAGAAGGTAAATTAAAAAGTAATCTCTGTTTTCTGAGCGGTGATACCATCGCTTTTTTCAGACGACTACGTGGAAGCACTTCGCGTCAGTTACATGAGCAATTCGTCACTTCATGCCTCTTTCTTCTTGTAAAGCATTTCATTGAAGGCTAGCAAGTTTGTGTTGTAGCAACTTCGGCTTCGCCCATAAAAAATATTATTTAGATAAGTAGTTTATATGATAAAGACAATAAGTCAAACGTAAAAGTTTACTGCGTCCATAGAAATGCTTCATCATGCGAAAGAGGCATGAAGTGACAAAAAACGCACATGAAACTGACGGGGCGGTAACTGCTAATTGCTTTCACCTAGTTATCTGAGAATAAGCGATGGCATAACTACTTGAAAACAGAGATTACTCCTTAACTTACCTTCTTCTCCTTTATCAGCAACAACTTACCGAGAAAGTAAAGAATGAGCAAAGAAAACACCAGAAAACACGCGCGGAGACTTGCAATGGCAATTATTAACGTAAGCGTTGTCGCGTTTTCAACACCACATTGAGCTTAAATCTAATAAAAATCTACTCGACTGTACAAATCAGAACCGCGCCACAGGCAGCTAGCTACACTCTCAGCACAGAGGCTGCACTAACAGCAGCAAGAGGAATGAGGTGACGCTTGAGAAAGTCGATCTGTTTTCCTCGATCAGCTGTATTACCACCACCGGCTGCACTGCGCGCTGAAAGTATATAAATTACAATTACATTAGAAATTACATGATGATGACTTACTATCTCTCCAGATGAGCTCCAAATCTTCTATCGTCCACACAATCGGACTTCTTGATAAAATTTCCTTAATATAGTAATGAGCGCTATGGTAAGTATCCATGGATTTTGTAACTTGGAATGTAATGTCCGTCTAATAACCTTATTTATTGTTGACAGGCTGGTCGACTACCTCTGTCAAAACTTTTATTGACTGGCTGATATCTTGCGGCGAAGCAGTTTTATTTATTAGGTTGGCACAAAGTTTTGCAACTTATTTTGTAACTTTTCTCTCTTTGGATGTGACGCATTCATTTTCAAGCATTATGTAGAATTGATGGTAGGCTACAAACCTGTGCAAACAGTTTGATTTTTGATTTCGAGCTGGAGAAGATTTGCTCACTTCTCGGAAGCTGGTCAAAACCGAAATTTCGAGGGTCGGAAAAGCAAAAATAAAGCCGTATTCAGTCTGAATCAAACATATCGAGCCGAAACTATACCCAGACTATTGATAGAAAAAAACTTTAACCATATACACAATTTCGACTTGATTTGTTTGATTCAGACTGAGAACGGCTTCATTTATGGTTTTCCGACCCATGAAATTTCGGATTTGACCAGTTTCCGAAAAATGAGTAAATTTTCTCCACTTCGCTACCGAAAACCAAACTGTTTGAGCAGATTTGTTGCCTAGTATCTAACCTACATTATGCCCAAGAATGAGTGCCTCGCAGTCAAAAAGAGAAAAGTTACGAGATAAGTTGCAAAACTTATGTGCCAACCTATTACCACAGACTTTGCCAAAATTACAAATTAACATTTCCTTGCGCGCCAGCTTTGTCTACCAATGCAGTAGCAGTACATCGGCCGTCGAATTTAGTAAAGCACATTATCCTTCACAATTGCTCATGCTTGTCAAATATTATTCTCTTACGGCTGGACCGGCAGAGATAGATATGCAAAACTCACCGTACTCAAAGAAACGAGCTGTTCGCGAGACTTTGATCCGAGTTCATATGGTGGTGGTGGAAGAACAGAACATGATTTCTTTACGCGGAGAAGAAGAAATATGGCCAGTACGCTTATCAAGATCAAAATAAATACAACAGCTGCTCCAATTATGAAGAACCACTTGATATGCGATTCCTTGTCAGCGGATGCTGCAAAAGTATCAGTTGTTTAGTTTCCTGGACGTGCTTGCCCAAAATCGCAAACATTTTTATTGAATCGTGCTTGAAATTGGAAGAAGAAACAGGACTGTAAGGCACTCAAACATTGTTAGTTATCAGTTTATCAAATCAAAAAGCTCAAAAAATTTCTATTTGATAGAAATTTGTAAGAACTGTGCATGTATGCATTTACTAGTATTAGTGAAAATCTTCCGTTTTTGTATTTGGAAAAGAGACTCTTATGTTTAAACCAATAAGCACCAAGTTTTGCACGCATACGTTCTTTACGCCGGAAAGTGAAAGCTACTTTGCCCGACAATTCACTCTCCCCTTCCATCGATTTTGGCATATCCCGCAAAATTCGCACTAATCCGCTCTCTTGTTTCGCCTAATCAAAAGCAGTAGAACTCATTTTCACTCGCGTTAAAGGCAATGCGGTAATTCGAAGCGAGTTAGCTCAGTCAATGCATGAGGATAAGATGTTCGCAATGCGTATGGGGTGCGGAGGAAGCGTAGCGATAAATGTGAACGGGGGGGGGAGGGAGTGGAGGTGAGGGCTAGCGAGCAGGAGCAAACGAAGACTAAATCGTGTTCTAACAGGTAAAATACAGAAGTTAATTTGACTGAATAATGGCCCTAGCGGGCCGGGAACGCAGGTAGTGAGTTACGAATCGTCCATTTTCAGGCAATTAGGCAATTAAACAAAAAAAACAAACAACATAGGAGCTGATCAAATCTTGCTTGCAAAGTTTAAACGTGTCCTTCGGACTTATTCTTCGGGATAATTTTTAGGTAACTAAACAAAAAAAACGGACAACATAGGGGCTGATCAAATTTTGCTTTCAAAGTTTAAACGTGTCCCTCGGACTTATTCTTCGGAATGGTGGAACTTTTCGCTTTTAGCGTAATGCAGTTTGTGCAAAACTTCTTTCTCGAAAATCTAAGTTGATGTCTACAAAATGACTAACAGAGATTTCAACTTAGTCGATGACGCGCTATATCGCGTAACAGCGAACCACTTGGACTTTGGATAAGGACTGAATAAGATTTCCACTCGTCGACACTTTCCTTGAAGGACTTTTACAAGAAATATTCTAAGCTAGAATCCCACTTCAAACCAGCGTATCTATATTCGCATACTCGTATGTGTAAAGCTAGATGTGATGTTTTTTGAGAACGCTGGAAGAGGTTTGTTTGCACTTCAAACCAAAGATTTGCTTGCTATTCAAACTTGCTTTACTTATCAAATTTGAGCTCTGCTTCGCCGTTATTATGTATTTTTGTGACCGCCTGTATGGCCACATACTTCAGAACTAAAAAATTAGGAAAAAACGAGAAAGACGAATCCTGGTCCTCCCTTTCCCGCAAAAACAAAGCCTGTGAAGTGCCAAATCTTGCTTAATATAACTGGGGAAAGTTCTACAATGGAAGATTATTGGACTTCACTTGCTTTCACTACCAACCCCTCATTATAGCACTCTCCTTGTATTTTGTAAAGCTTGAACATATGAAAGAGAAAAGCGCTCAAAGTTCTTTGTTGTTTCGATACAAAAGTAGAAATGTTTTTTAAGGGTAATAAAAAAATACTTCATCGCACAATGGCTACAACGTTTATGTTATCAATGACAACTTCTTTACTCACTTTGAGGCTTCTCTTTCCTGCCCTTTTCTTTCCCATTTGCGTCAATCACGATTGGTTTGCCTGCATCATTTGGACTTGAATGCTAAAATGTACTGTCAAATGTTTACCTTTGTTGGGCAACACGGAAACTTTTCTTGTCCTGTTGGGTCCGCTGACGATAGCAAACCTGTCGGTTACACTAGCAAGCTCTTTACTTATTGATCTCGAAGTTGTAGTTGTAGTCGTAGTAGTCGGAACTGGCACACGCTGGATCTTCGGGTCAAGCTGAGGATTATTTTTCAATCGCACTCGTATTGGCTTATCTAGCTTTAATTCTTCCAATAGCGGCATTGGTAGTCGTTTCAAATCCGGATTATTCTCCACAATTATTGCTATGCTTTTCTCTAAAATTGTCTTTGTTGCAATTTGTAATCAAAAGCATGAAGATGCAAGACCGTTTTTCACTCCAATTCTTTTGAGTCCCATAAGGTAGTCGAAGTTATTGAGACCAGCATTATTGGTTATGATGAGGCTGCCTTCTATGGTTTCTATTGTTCCCAAGTTTTCGACTCCTGGAGGAACTTCTGAAATACTTTCGATTTTCATAAATGCGACTATTTTATTTCGATTAACAAATTTTTATGTTTGACTTTTTGGCATTATTGTAGCTCACATTCTAGGATTTGATACTGCTTTTGAAAATATTAACACCGAAATGTTGATTTACTTGTAACTATAAGCTCTGCTTTGCATACTTTGCTCGCCCCTTTGCGATGATAATCATCTGTTAGCGCCACAACCACTGCCAAAGAGTTCTTGATAAACTTTTTCACAGATCTTGAAAAATGTAACTGTATTGCCATAGTGAATTACAGTTTGTTAATGGAATACAAACATTTCTGCGGGTCCTCCTTAAGCCTCAAGTTTGCCGGATTCGCACGGTTTTAAGAGAATTGCGCGGTTTACGGTATTTGGTCACAGCTCTCCGTGCACAAAATATTTCTCACAATGAAAGAAGAGTGTCGGCTTGATAAGGTGAATTTTTGGTGCACAACTTGCCCGTATTCCGGGGATACACTAAGCACATGGTGAGACCACTATTTTCTGTGATGAAGGGTGAGACCACTATTTTCTGTGATGAAGCTTGCGAAGTAATGGGAACTTGAATAGCTTATGCTTAGCATCCATGAAACATTATCCGTATAAAAAGGTGGCTAATATTTAATTTGAAGGAATTAAATGGTAACTGAGTCGTGGAAATGCATGAAACGCTTACCCTACTTTATTACAACTATCCAACAACAAGGGAAATCGATAAGCATGTATATCTGTTACGAGTACGTCAAAATGTTGAAGTGGGAGCATTCGGCGCTAATCTAATCTGACGTGACACGCGCGTAATCTGTTTACTATGTAGAACGAGAAGGTTGCAAAAACACAATCTCACGACTTTTTGTTTGAAACTCGAGTGCTCGTTGATTTGGGGACATACCGTCGTACACTAATAGTTTCGAAATATCAACATGAGACGCTGTGCTTGTTACCTGCTGTTCCCATTCTGTGGCCATCCGGAATAACCTTGAATGCAAACGAGACTACCGTTCAATATTTCTACGGAACAAAATTCGCTTCGTTAGAAAGTTCCGATATTTTTGTGCACAGCACGCCACGTACACACCATCATGACTTTGGCGGAGAATCGTATTCATCTTGCTGTCTGTGGCGCTGTTGAACGACTGTGATAATGTGACTATAAGCGGGTCACGCATTTCCACGAGATGCATTGCCATTTTCTTTTTTCACACAAAAATATCTACTTCCTTTTTTCTCGTCAGCTCAAGACAAACTAATGCTTCAAATTTTCTTGAAATATTCCATGCAACGATAGATACTACTGTTCTCGGAGTTCGCATTTTCGGATCATCTGGATTCACAGTGTGCGGGAACTGCGCGACTTACGGGAGCTCGCCATAGCTCGCCGTTAGAATTATAAAAAAAATCTAAATGGCCGGAAAGGGGTGTAATGGGCGAAAGTCCAAGATTCAAAACCAAAACGTTTTTTGGAAAATCGAAAGAGGTGTGCACTTTAGCTAAGAAAATGCAGGAAGAAAGGAGACTGCATAGCTAAAGCATAAACGGTTTGAGGTTTTGCGTGTACTCCGCTTTGACTTCTCGGACTTCGAAGAATTTTTTGCTGAGCTTCAAGCATCTATTTTCGATGAAGATCAAATCTCCTAGTAGTAGGTCGTTTTAAGTGAGTAGAGAGTTTTCTTTTGGAATTTAATTTGTTGCTCTTCTTTGAACTGGGTTATGGATGAGCTACTGTCGCTCGAGACAGCATCTTTCTTTACAAGGCCTAATTCTTCATCTTCGAACCAAATCTGCTACCACAGCACAAACTATCCAGCGTCCTGGTTTTCCATCCAGAATCGTTAAAAAGATGATATTCATGTTTGAGGCATATGAACGGAGGCTACTTCCCAGGAAAGACATTACATAGAAGGATAAATGGTATCTTCTACCATATGTGAGAGCATTCAATACGATTTTGGCAGAAAATTTCTCTGCCAAAAATTTTCTTAAAAATCGTACTGGCCAGAACTTTTGGCTAAACGTTGGCACGAATTAGACGAAGCTCCTTTCAAGGTGCGATAGCAAGATCGAAACAATCTGTTGCCAGAAAACTCGTCAACTCAACAGCAAGCAAAAACAGCTACCACCGAAACCTCGTCGTTTTATCAGCATAGTAGCCTTAATTACTCCCAACTACTCCACCCGTTCATGAAAAAAAAATTCTGTTATCGGCAAAAATGAAGATGACAAAATCGCTAGAAATTGCTTCAGGAAACCTTGTTTAAGAAGACGTAAAGCAGAAAGCTTTGACTCGTTTCAAAAATGAAGAAACTCTTATAGAGCAAGATAGTCTCTTTTGAATGGTACAACTACAGTTCATTCGGAAAAACGAGGACAAAAAGAAACTCTATGCGTTAACCGCCCCATATATTGTTTATGATGGTATTTCAATGTGCACTTTGTTGTTTATGACTTTACACATACCTTGATTGTTAATTTGGTTAAAAAAGTACCTGCCTTTAGTGTCACACTAGTCGCTCTATACGGCCACGTCATGCAAGCTTGAAAGGATGTATGAAAAATATTTGCTTTTAAATTTTTTTGAACTCGAGAATGATGCAATTTTCGAAATCGCTAATAGTACTTGAGAACGCATATCTTTTTGGTATTTTCTTTGCCTCATTTTTTGTGGCCTTCAGAATTTTCGAGTTTGTCTTATTCCACAGATCAATAAGTCAAATGTAGTCCGTAACCGTAGATGGATTTACTGCTTTCTTTGTCTACGCTACTTTTTTTTACTGAACAATCGTTTGAAATTTCATTGTTGTACTGCCTTCTAAAATGTATAGAACTTTATATTCACAACTTACTCTTCCAATTCGAAATTATGAGATCTCCAAATATAAATTTGCAGTTGACACTATAACGAAGATAACTTTCTGATACCTTGCCACCCAAGCATTCATCTTAATGTAAATGATCTTTCCGAGTTAGAATTCAAGAACAAAAAAATTTACTGCAGCCATCGAGATTGTTGGAAATTGTTATATTGCCTATGATCGTATTTAGATAGTCTAAGTTTTTGGAGCACAACTGCTTGTTGTTACGAATATCTAAAAAAAGTTTGATAACGATGGAATGTTGGCTCTCATCTACTTACATTGCGGACAACCGGGTATAGGACGAAAGTTTGACATTGTCACTATAAATGTGACATCCTTCAGCTTTGTATCTTCGATCTGTATGCACCCTTCGATATCAATCTTGGACTGGGACGGCTCGATTTTCGCAGTAGTTGGTTCCACTGTTAAGATTCCATAAAATCGAGGACAAGTTGTGCCCAGTTCTTTGAATGATTTGAACGGTCTCGGCAAAGAACATTCTGTAATAATAAATGGGTAAGATGCTGCTGCTTGGTTTGCATCGGAATGCCATCAGCGTTTCGAATGCTGAGGCCTAAATAAGCTACGACCATTTTTAGCTATCAGTAGCTTTAAAAATTGCTTTGAGAAACTGGGTGGAGGAATGAGAATCACGTTTACGGTACCGCCTATATAACATCCCACTGCCTGACAGTAATTACTTACCTCGCATGCCTTTCAAAATAAGCGTCATTTGAAGCTTTGTATCTAACGTGAGAAAAAATTATGTAAAATTTTACTACTGCCTGATTCCTGTGTTTCCGCACACAATATGTGCTTAATCAAAGATCAAAGATAGAAAACCTTACAAGTGGTTGTGATCATTAGGAATAAGAAAAACACCAAAAAATCCATTGTGAAAACACTTAGCTCAGCCCTGTTTCTAAACATATTGACGACAACATGACCCACATGGTGGGTCATGCAATGTCTGCCACCTCGGACAATGCGACCCATTTGGTGAGTCATGATTTGAATTTTGTTGAGAAGATATTTCAGAATATATTTGTCTCAGGAGTTTTCTTACGCTCTAACCCTATAAGTCGCTCTTATGTCTCTCACTTGCTTCATAGAATTACCGTAAATATACTGTAGGTGACGATCTTTATGATCTCAATCTCAAACAAACTCAAAAAGTTTTCGACTTATCCGTGGAAGCCATTGTCTCAACAGGCAGATAACTAAAAACGCACGTTGAACGTTGTCGACGACGTGTTAGTCTTGAAACGATTTTTTTAAAAGAATCAGCGCTTGTAAAAAACTACAGGTAGGAAGCGCTGACCCAATAATTGCACCAGCGCATATAATTACTTTCAAATCATCGTTCCGCAATTAAAGTTGTCGTGTTGGGGTCAGCATTTCATAGCGACGTTCACTACATAAAATATACGTAAGAAGATCGTCCTTCCGGTCAAGTGCTGCTGCCAGTGTGTGCAAAAGCGAAGAATCAAAGAATCTAATAATTTAACTGTGAGTAACTAGAAAGGCACGTAAGGGACGAGTTGGCATGGTCGCCACAGATGACACTATCTTCGTAGTTCAAAGGGCCCACCTCTAACTTGCAGGCAGTCAAGTGGCCGCGGCACTTGACCTTACGGAGGGTTTACTATGGATGCTAGCTTTCTTACACATGTTTTACGTGATAAAGCTCGCTTTGAAATGCTAACCCCAACACGGTATTACTGATTTTAAAGGCAGTGGCTCGGCAAATCTCAACCTAGTGAAATTTTCGCTTACCTGGGGTTATTTAATAGGCTGATCCCGAAAATGCACTTTTGAGAGTTTGAAAACGGCGAAAAGGAGCGTTTATCTTTTTGGAATTGGACGAGTGGAGCAAGGCTGATGATGCTGACGTGGCAGGACCCAATGATTGTAGCATTGCGGCGGGCAGCCTCCAATGGTAAGAAGGAATTTGCCAACTCGTCCGGATGCGTATAAGATTAGTGTGCGCGTGTAAGTTTGAGAGCAATTTCCTCGGCAGGGAAGGCATGCTGTGCAACCGGGATTGCACAATTTTCAAACTTGGACGATAAGGAACCCACCGCGTTGAAATTCTGAGTTGTTGATTTTTGCCGAAACACTGCCTTTAACCTCATGTTTGAATGAAACGCCTGCTGTTAGTTCTTGTTAGTTGGTGAATTAAGTATTTTTGAAATGCATATTAGCAGGGAGCGATTTCCTGAGAAGAACGCTTAAGACCTTCTGTCTCAATCAGACGTGGCGTAAATACTCAAAAATTTGAAAAGATTTTTGTTTCTTTGCTAACCAGTTTTACATCGATGCATACACATTGTCGCAGGACATAGGCAAGAATAGGGAGTTAGTTGTGGCCAGCGATGGGTGCATGCTCACCGACAAGAATCAAACCACATCTTCTCGCATAGAATAGAAAATAAAACAATGTATTTTTCGGTTACACTTGAATCATCAAAAAACCTTCTTGGTTTCTTAAAATCAATAGAAGCTAAAAGAATAGACGGCCTACGCTGATTTCCGTGTTCTGAATTGTCAAGTAATGTATCAACTGCTGATCTTGGAACTTTCGCCAAAAAGGTTTTGTACTTATGAGAGTAAGCCCCGAAGGCGTCGTGGAGCAGGCAATAGTGAAATCCACCCCAAACTGAAAGCTACAAGCTTTATCTAACAATCTATGAACCATCAAAAAGCTTTGAAACGGGAATTTGACTATCTTCTTTTTCCTATTCTTTTACTGAAAGATAACCTCGAGTCATTTGTAACTTAATATGTGAGATTGCACCCTAAACCCAATTCGCGACGGCACCATTACTAGTGACTTTCCAGTGCAACATTTTCTAGCCTAACTAAGTGTAGAAATGTGTTTTATCAACTAACATATAACCAACAACAACAAAAGAGACAAGGAAAAAAGGAGAAATCACCGGAAATGAGCAGGTTCTACTTTTGCAGTTCTCTAACGTGTATATTGTGCACTACGCAATAAACATGAACAATCTCTTTTTTTCTGCTTTCCTCCCTTTGGGAATGGGAGCGCAAAGTCAAGCAACAGCCACACATTGAAAAACTTTTCGTGTTTTACTAGATTGCTTTAAGTAATGAGCCCTCACGAGAAGAAATGACTATCGAAAATGTTGGAAAAACACTACACAATAAAGCAAAGCAGGAAGGAAACTGCCATACTTGCTCAGAATTCATGATTAAGCCCAAGTTACAAAAAATTTACTCGCCTCAAAAATGTGATCACTGACGAGAAAAACTTTGCAGCCCCATGGCCGTCATGTTTTAGATACTAATAATAAGTAGTATATAATCGCAGTTGCTGGAATGTTCTAAACTTAGAAAAAAACGAAAATGAGTTTAACAAACGAAGTCGCCTTTTCGGGTTCTTTTGTGCTAAGTATGAAATTTTCGATGATAAAAATACACAACAAGATCTTCGCGATTCTACTCCAGAAAGTTAATAGAGTACAAATATGTGAAACTAGAGCGCCAGTGTGCCTGACAATTTCCGCTCAATATTTATTTTCTCAATTTACAATCATGAAGAAATGCAGCGAATGCGTGTGATGAACGTTCGGATGTGTAATTACACTTGTAATTTCTTTCTATTCTATCCAAGTTTGGAGGCATCTAAAGCTTTTAGATGTTGTAAAGCTTCAAGCGAATTCCGATTTAAGTGGATATTTGATAGTAGCCTTAATAGAGTATGCTTTGCTCTATCGTATAGTGCCCTCACCAATTTGCTTATTTAAAATGTGGCTGTAGCAAAAAAACGCTCATTATCTCTGCACGGCCCTAATGCCTCTGCACCATTTATTCTCCTCCTTTTCACCTCTTTTCCCCCGTCTCTGCCGACATTTGTGTTAGCGCTAAATCACGTCAAGTTACCCCCTTCGATTTTCAAATTTGAAATTATCTGAAACTCCCTTCATCTGGACGGGGTTCCAGCTATTTACAGCCTAGTCTCCTTCCCCCTCCCCCCCCCCCTTCCTCCCCTATCACAAGTATGACTACAGTTTGGCTTTTTAAATTGGTCAAAATGTGTGTATTGTCCTACCTCCTTTCACTTGTAAATCCCAACCAGCCTTCAAGTTGTCATTCAGTTTGTGTATTATTTCCAAGTCTTGCTCTCCCAAATTCGGGTTTCCACGAATTCTCATAGAGCCTGGTTTGGATGATAAATTTTTTGCTAATTCTGTTTTTTCCCACTCCCAGAAGATATGCTCCAGTTTCTGGTTTTGAACAATATTTATCGTTGGACCTGAAACATTGTGCTTTTGTGACTAACCGAAAAAATATGCAGATTGATTGGTTTTATTAGTTTTCATAGAGTAGAGTTTATCAGCTGGAAGGCCTCAACTGCACTGAGCTTTCTGTTGGGGAAACCAAATGACACTCAGCACTCGTACCAAATAACATCCAGCAGTAAAAGCGTGAAACAGCTGCCTTCAGCTTCACTCAGACATACAAGCAAGATGCATAATGGAGATGACTTTGATAGCAAGTGTAAGATTCTAGCTGGAAGCATTAGCGACTTACTGGATTCGAAACCTCTCTAAGGCCCGTATGCGCGTACATCTTCGCTGGGGAGGGAAGGGGAGGGGAGGGGAGGGGAGGGGAGGGGAGAGAGGGGATGCGTCATATCTCGTCATTCCAGGTATCTTTCTTCTTCCTTTTATATCTTACTTATGAACATCCCAACTTGTACCTGCGCATAATGGATGCCAAGTTGCTGCCATACAAGATTGGTTTTTTGCCATTTTGTGCGATCCCCAGAAGATTCCCAAGGGATCATTTTCAAAGACATTTATCTTCCTGAGAAGTCAATGAAAATATTGCAAAATTGCACTGAGGATATACTACGGCATTGTTAAACATGTTTATAGCAGGTAATCGGGCATACATTGAGCGCAGGTATAAGTTGTGAAAACCTTTTCAAGCAAAATAGAAAGAAGAAAGATAAGTAGAGTAGCGAGATATGGCGCGTCCCTCTCAGATCCCCTCTTCCCCAGTGCGTATGTACGTACATACGGGCCTAAATATTAGGTTGGTCCGAAAGTTCTGTCCCACCATTTTCAAAAAATCGTAACTTCTTCCTAACACAATGTTTTTGCAAGGTAAAACCATATTAGAAAGAGCAAGTCATGCGTCTTCTAAAACTGAGTTGGCTGCTATTCATTAAGCTCTGAATGCAGAGATAAAATTGGGGAAAGAAATTCATTTCAAATTCGAAATTTTTAAGCAAGCCCGTTTAAAAATCCAAAACAGTGCCATAAAATCCAAAACAGCCACTATCCTAGACTATTTTATCCCCTCTTTCTGACTGAGCAAAGTTCTCGTTGATCGAGCTGTTATTTGGAAAGTTATGATTTTTTGAAAAAAAAAGTCAAAAAGTCAATTTTCTTAAGAAACTGTTTTTTTGACATTTTTTCTTGAAAATCATAACTTCTTTCAAAAGAGCTCGATCAGCGCGAATTTTGCTCAGCTGGAAAGAGGGGATCAAAAAACCTAGGATACTGGCTATTTTGGATTTTATGGCACACTTTTGGATTTTTTAAAGGGCTTGCTTAAAAATTCCGAAATTGAAATGAATTCCTTTTCCCAATTTTATCTCTGCATTCAGAACCTAATGAATAGCAGCCAACTCAGTTTTAGAAAGTACTTGAATTGCTCTTTCTAATATTGTTTTACCCTTGCAAAAACATTGTGTTAGGAAAAAGTTACGATTTTTTGAAAATGGTGGGACAGAACTTCCGGACCAACCTAATATATAAAGCAAAAAATATGTGTCTCTGGGTCTGTCTATCTGTGCACATGCTACATATCTGGCTATATACGGCGTCGTACGTACAACAACTGCAATTGAGCTGAAACCTTGTACAGACTATATTTTCAACGGAGATCATTATAGACTACTTTTGGGTGATTTACTGGACCGCTCTAGTTGATTCTTTGCACCTTGCAATGAGAATGTTTTATCAAAGAGCTCTCCTACTTTCGTGCAAACAACTGCGGTGAGTTCATTTTCATTTCGCGGTGAGGACGAGAGGTTAATTCGAAGCACGTAAAGCGGAAGCTCATGTATGGGGAGGGGGGGGGGGAGAGGAAGTCGCAATGCGTAATGATTATGCAGAGAAGAAGAAACAGAGGTGATGTGAAAAATGTGTGGATGAATGCAGTGCGAAGACAGACAACAGATTATGAAAAACAAGTTCTGCGCGCAAAATTTGCCCCACATCTGCCGGACTGGATGATGGCCCGGGCGAAGGCTGAGAAGCCAAATGGTGACCAAATTGAATGGGTGCTTGTCAACAACGCCTCGCCCTGGAGCAGTAGACGTCTTCATAGTATGAGACGCGGTGCACACCCCAGCAGGTAGAAATCATTGTAGTACTTCTACCAATGGAAACAAGGGCATCGGCATTAAACTTGAAGAAAATCAAAATTTTTCATCCAATGAATGGTTAGTGAATAAATGTGAAAGTGAAAATTTTCGAATAAACGAATATTGAATAAATTTGAAAATGAAAAATCTTGAATAAACGATTATCGAATAAATTCGAGATTTGAAAACTTTCGAATAAATGAATCCCGATTGAAATCGCAAAATCAAAAATATCGAATGAATGAATATCGATTATATTAAACATTGGGAGTCGAATTACGATTAGGTACTCGAATGATTTATCGAATAACTGAGTCAACCATGTTCGATACCTGCCGACATATCGGCTAGAGCAGTTTATTCATAATTAGCACCCTCACACCCCCTATACCAACTCCCAGCTCCGTAGCTCAAAATTTTCCGAAAATTAGTAAAATCGATAAAGTAGGATTTATTTATAATCAGCGTCCTCGTTTACTTCATTATATCCCTCCCCGTAGCTCAAAGCTTTTCAAAAATCGATATAATCGATGAAGTAAATTTTTACCCATTATTAGCACTATCACTTACCCCCCACCCCCTGCACCAACTCCCAGCCTTATAGCCCGAATCCCAAAAATCGATGAAAATCGATCAAGTAAATTTTTATGTATAATCAGCCGTTAAACCTCTCTGTACCATCTCTCCCCCCCCCTAAATCAAAAGTCGATCAGCAATTTCCTACTTTTTACTACAACCGCAATGTCCTTTACTCAAAATAGCCCCGGCCCGTCATCTGCGAAAAATCTCTGAAATAGGATCGAAGCCATTGTGCAGCATAGCTTTCACAAGCAAGAATGCTTACTAGATTTTTGCAAACCAAACCTATGAGCAAGCCAAAGGAAGAGGAACAAGCATGTCAACATACTTCCTTTATATGAGCTCGGAATGATTACTTCGTAAGCAGTTTTTTTAGAATGCAGTTTAAAGGTGATCACGGCTGCAAAAGATGCCCTTTTTTGCTTTGAATTTTCGAATTTTCGAATCCTTATTATACGATTATTCGAACTTTCGAAATTTCGAAGTCCAATTTTTTAAACTTTGAAGTCCCCCTCCCCCACAATGTCGGCCGCCTCAACTTGGCGTGGGGGTGACACTGGGTGTCGAACTGCGATGCACAACCGAGTGTATACTCTGGCAGGCCAAGCTATGAAGGAGTTCAACGTTTCCGGTTTTGGCCGGATGCTTAGTTAAGAGCCAGGCCAGATCGACCGCCGTCTGGTTTTCTTGTTGTTAGGCGGTTCTCCTCGCTCCAACCCGGGGTCAGCGATCGCCCCGTGCAAACGTCCATCTTGTCGATTCGCACGAGGTCCTATTACCCTGATTAGCCATCCTACGACTGCGACCTCTACGTCAGAAGACCATCAGCATCATTAAATGCTAATCTCCAACATCAGCATCTGACGACTCAGAACTAGATGCTTTCTACGAAGACGTGAAATGAGGTCGTCTGCAACGAAAAATCCTTCTACAAGTTTGTTGTTGCGACTTCAGTATGCTCCTTGGAAAAGAATATGGTATCGAGAAGTTTGGATATCTGCTCCGAAACGAAAACGGCAATCGTATGTTTGGACTTCTCTCCGCTGCATGACTTTTTTTGTGGGAATTTCATCTTCATGAAAAAAGAGAAGATCACTGGTGGGCATGACAATCGCCTAATGGAACGACTCATCGGAATCGCATTCTCACCAACCAAAGGTGGAGCTTGCTCGATGTCTCAGTAGTTCCAATTCTGCAATGGCTCCAATCACCGCCTCCTTCGAGCGAAGGTACGATTCAGTCGAAAGCCTTAAAAGAAGGTCTCAGTGCCGCAAGAAAGAAGAATGTCGTTTATGACGGTAACAGGCTCTCAGACAATCGCCGGGGGCAGACGGGCACCGGAAAAATAAATTGATGTTTTCTCGCACCCTGCTTGCGGATTTTTTGGAAAGCAATCAAGACTTTTCGGGAGACCGCTTGCTGAGTCAGCGGGTTTTTGAGAGACCGCCTGTTGAATTTTTTTCGCCCTTATCTTTTGCAGATATATTGCTGAATCTCTGAGGAATCGAGAACTCAGCAAGCGGTCTTCCGAAAAGTCCTGATTGCTTTCCAAAAAATCCGCGAGCGGGGTGCGAGAAATCAGCAATATATTTTTCCGGTGCCCGTCTGCCCCCGGCGATTGTCTGAGCTGGAGGATCTCACATTAAGTTGTGACTGGCTCATCGAGGAGGGACCACTGTACAGCTACGACCGGCCTCTGAAGGGATTGCGAGCCTGGAGAGTGCGCCTTAGTGACTTCCAAAAAAGAACTTGGAAAGTATTTCGAAGATCACCAAGGAAATGCTGGAAAGAAAAAAATTTCTGAGGCAGGATCCGAATGCAAACCATCTCCAGCGACTGATAGCCAACGCCATTTGCAAAACAGCTTTGCAGGAGGATCTCAGGAAGTAAAGTCAAGCCAAGATACTGGAAGCAGCCGAAGGAAGACAAATTCTTAAAAAGTGCCGAGGGACCTTTGTGAATATCACATACCGCTGGCTGCACTATTGATCGAGGACGGGACTCCGATTTCTTCTCGATAAAAGATGGAATCGATCGCGAAGAACTTTTACACCAACCTCTTTCGCTCATCAACACCCGTGCCGACGATGCCAGTTGTTCCCACTGTAAATGTACCAATATATTTCATTGGAGTACGCACGGCCATCAAGACCATAAAAACATTCACGGCTCCAGGACCAGACCGTCTTTCCGTTGGATTTCTGAGAGCCGGAGGACAACGCTTACACGAGATTCTCGCGTCGCACCTGACATCTTACCTTCAGAAGGAGAGGATTCCCGACCAGTGGAGAACGTCAAGAACCGTCCTTCTCTTCTAGAAGGGTGAATGGGATGATCTCTGGAGCTAACGTCTAATGTGCTTGCTGTGTGTGTTGTGCAAGCTTTTCACGAAGATATCCTCGCTCGCATATCTAGGACACTGGTGAAGCCTAACTCCAAGAACAAGCTGGATTTCTCAAAGGATTCAGCTGCATAAAACCACATCCAAATGGTTTCGACGGTCATAGAAGTCTGCCGGGAGTATGTACCGACTGCCCCTCGTCCTAACCTTTGTCGACTACGAGAAAGCCTTTGACAGCGTCGAAACCTACGCCATCCTGCCTGCGCTAGTCGATCAAGGAGTGAACCCAGTTTACGTGAGGACATTAGCCGACTGCTACAAGAACTGTACAACGACGATGCAGCTATTCCATGGCCCCCTGACCATACCAATTGGGAAGGGGGTCCGACAAGGCGACACAATCTCGCCGAAGCTGTTCACCGCGGCCTTGCAGTGGGTGATTAAGTCACTGGACTGGGACGAGAGAGGCATACGAGTTGATTGGAGCTTCCTGTCCATCCTACGTTTTGCGAACGACATCGTTCTCTTTTCGAGCAGTATCGCTGAAGCAGAGAGGATGCTGAAGGAACTGAACGAAGTGAGGAAGAAGATCGGATTGCGAATAAATCGGAAAAGACTTAGTTCATGAAGAACGCCCTTTGCAAAGATGCAGAAATGGAACTGGAAGGCCTATCATGGAGACCTCTTCTTACATGTATCTCGAACGTTTGATGAAAATGGATAACACTTGAGGGAAGAACTTAACAGGAGAAGAAGAGCAGCCTGAGCCGCCTTCGGGCCTTTGCAGGAAGCCACCACATTTTAAATTACAGAAGGTAAGATAGGGCATTTTATCAATCCACGTATGTTGTACACACTATGCATGTGCAGTTTGCTAGTATTGGATCTGAAGGCTTCTGGCGAATTGCCAAATCGCGTCGCGACTGAGATCGCGTGAAGTATGCCCGGCCCTTCGCGGAGAGCTGTACGCATGTGCGACCTATTACGTGGCTGGCGTAGTTGAGCTCTAGTCTCGCGCTATGTCTTTGCGTCTCCATTATGCACAAAGTATTTCGCTCTCGCGTTCATCACGACATTTGCAATATGCCGTTATGTGTTGCGATATATCGTTGGCATTTAGCGACACATTGCGGTTAATTTCTGCATTTTAGCCGCCATGCCTGCCTTGGTTCAGGATAATCACTACATGTCACAGCAAGCTCCAATTCTTACGTCACGATACTCGAGGGATTAAAACGATCCCTGGTCTTTTTCATGTAGAATGGTTCGCTCGTAGCTACCGAGACCTCTTTGGGCGAAACTTGTCAGCCAGCTATAAAACGTTCTCCTGAATCTCTCAACAAATCGTATCGTTTGATCATATTGAGAAGTTACAAAGAATTTTAGCCTTTTTCATTCAAATCAGGGTAAAGAAGTGAGTGTAATTAATGTGTCACGTACCTTTGCAGCTTCCAATTATTGATTTAGTATAAATCGATAGGTATGTCAAATTTGTATTTTCAATCGAAATGCACATGTTTAGTTCATCTATGCCCAGGAGCCATTCGAAAAACGAATCACTGAGACCATCAGCGGTAAGCACCGTTTCTCCTCCCAAAGAAATCCTCTTTGCACTAGAGCATGGTCTTCTTATGGACAGCTTCGCTGTTACGTTCGATATGTCGAATGCTTGAGATTCACCACTTTCGAAGCTGCAATCTGAAATTCCTGTCTGATCTGGAGAAAAGTCTCTGAAAGTTCACTCTTTCAACAGAAATATAAAACAAATGTGAAACCTGTTTGGCGAACGAGCACTTTAGTTATGTGTGGTGTGAAGAAATAAAGAAATTTACAACCTCAATGTGTTGATTCCTAGGAAATGCGCAGAACTTTCCTATATTAGGTTTGCTGGTATTGATGCACGTTTCTTACGCTACCACGTGAGTAGGGGAACGGAGCTTGCCTACCCCAACTTGCCGCAACATGGATAGGAACGTGAGCCGTCAGATACGTAATTAGCACCTAATTAGCATTTTATGCACGAAGAAGTGGTCTTAGCCATGATCCAGCAAAGCATGAAAGTTTTGATGAGATTTCGAACCAAAAGTTCAGGAGCGATAATCAAATCATCCGATTAGAGTGAAAATTGGTATATAAAGGTTTTCCATCAGGTTCTTCCCTAATATGCTAGTAGTTTTGTTTCACTCCTCCAAACATTTTTTTGGGTTTAAAATTCTTTATAAATCTTACTGCTACTTTGGAATTATTGGCAATTGGTATTTTTCGACGCTTTTCCGAACATTTTAGTGGTTTAACTTCTGATGGTAAGTAATTGCAAGTTTGCAGTTTGTGAATATACATAATGCAGAGACTCACTTACGTGGTGAAACACGTGTAAAAATAGTTTCATGCCAGCGAACTTGTAAATACAAAGGATATTGATAGAAACGGCTGAGAGCACGCCTAATGGATCTATCGATAACAGTAGGCCTATAAGGGTCAATTGTGCAGTTTTTGGCTTATCTCTCGGTCAATTTGATCGAACTGTAAGCTGTCTTTGGCGAAAATAATTCCCTTTTTAATCTGAACAGCATCAAACGTATAATCAAGCATATTTAGATTCGGCTGATTTTCAAATATGGCAATCTTTTCGTTTGTACTCCGGTTTCTTCAAATTTACAATAAGATTTATGAAGAAAAGTACGAAATAAAAATATTTGGAGGTGTGAAGCAAAACCACTGTATTTGGGGAGAGCGTGATAAAAAACTCCTAGATACCAATTTTCTTCAATTGGATGATTATAGCTACCGAACTTTGAGTCGAATTCACATCGAACTCGCGTTTTTATTCTGCTGGATCAAGCAGGGCTCGGCACAGGTGGCTTACCCGGCAAGCTGGATATTGTTTTAAAATAAAAAGCAAGGAAGTTATCGTTGAAGCGGAAACACCCAGTTCCCTCCCCCCCCCTCACACATACACATACACATACACATACACATACACATACACATACACATACACACACAAACACACACACATCGCCTTTTGTCTTTATGTCATCTATTTTATATAAAAGTCAAATAGTAGCAATAATAGCAAATAATAATAATAATAATAGCAAATAGTCATTTCTGCCTTATCGGCGTGCAAAAATCGAAAAATTTCCTGTTTCAACCCGTTCGCCAATTAAGCGCGCGAATTCAAACCTGCCTCGAAATAAACAAAAGACTTGTTTACAGCGAAGAGAAAATGAAATGACACCAAATTCATGTGTAGATGGGCAACAGGGGTTGAGACTATGTGCAAAAAAATTATGAAAAAATTATGTGAACTGAAAGCGTGGGAAACTTTTTTAGCAATTAGGTGGCTTTCCAGCCACGTGGACAGCCACCTGAGGTGGCTGTAAAAAGAAAAAGTATTAGGTCGTTCCGAAAGTTCTTTCCGTTTTTTCAACCAATCATAAAAACATGTGGAATGAAGGTAGGGAAACGCTTCGGGCACTATCCGACGCAGCTTTTCTTCCTCTTTTCAACTGTCATATTCCTGTGCCGCTTGCTCTTGTGATCAGTGAGATAATGGCCGAAATTATGAACCCATGGTTTTTACCATGTCCAACTTTGGCAATTTTTCACAATCTTCGTCTTCAACTTTAGGAAAAGCTTTGATAGCAGTCAGATAAATTAAATAAAGTGCAATTTAAGGGAATTTTTTGGCGTCTATAGCTAGCCTTAAAAATTTCTTGGAATTATTTTTCTGATGCTATCAAATTCCACTTTTGGTGATGCCAAGAACTATAGAACATAGAACGGCGCACAACTAAGGTATCATTCGATGCAGCCTTTCCTCCTCTTCCTTTAAGTATTTTTCTCCCCAATTTGTGGGGAGTTTTGGCGATAAAATTCCCATAATTCTTGATTTTGACCCCGCCTAAGGATGAACACGTGAAATGCGAAATCTTATATTTCGAAGCGGTAAACACTCAGTTATTTTGTATAAATAGTGGACAATCATAAACGACTTTTGAAAGTGTCGAAATCCGAAGATTTGTTAATGTTCGGAGCGTTTGTGTGTTTTGTGATTTAGAAAAAGTGAAGACTTCTGGAAAAGTTATCTCAAAAAATACTGAGAAGCCGGTTAAGATTGCCAAAAAATTGCATTAAATTGCACTTTGTTTACTCTATCTGACTGCTATCAAAGCTTTTCCAAAAGTCAAAGAAGAAGATTGTGAAAAATTGCCAAAGTTGGACATGGTAAAAACCATGGGTTCAAAATTTCGGCCGTTATCTCACTGATCACAAGAGCAAGCGGCACATGGATATGATAGTTGAAAAGAGGAAGAAAAGCGCGACGGATAGTGCCCGAAGCGTTTCCCTACCTTCATTCCACATGTTTTTATGATAGGTCGAAAAAACGGAAAGAACTTTCGGAACGACCTAATATATTTCCTTTCTTTCACATCATTTTCTTACATTTTTAATATAGCCTTGTTCTACATCAAAAACCCTACAATTGAGTTTTTGAAGCTCTCCAACCCCCTCTTCCTCGCCTAGTTACAGTCTTCCAAATACTTTGTATGGCGGAGGCAAGCCTGCTCCAAGCGCGCAAGGGGCGCTCCGGACACAGCATACCGTCAATTCGGAGATTACGAACATCTTTAGTTTCTTCTTCGTCTATTCAATGTTGCTTTTATCTTTGTTCCATTATTTTCCGTTATTCGTTCTGATCTATTCAGACCGCGTCATAGTTGTGCCGAAGTCTACAGGGACTTCGTTTTTCATTTTTCAAAAATTGAAAAAGCCACCTAATGCCGAGCCGGGATCAAGGCTGAAACTGATATGTGCACAGATCAGCTTTGCATACAGTTCTATAGGTGTTAAATGAGTACCTGACAGCTCTTTGGCATATAGCTACGTCGTGGCAAGTCTTTCGGGTAGGTATTAGGTCGTGTAATGTAATAATTTCTGTCCCATTTTTTGTTTGGTTTTGTTTTGACAACATTGACTATATTTGAGATAAAGTGTGTATGCTTTTGGAAGCTTTAAGTGTGCTCTGCAGACTCGCATACATCATTCCCCTACATAGCAGGAAATTGAAAAAGATTTTTATCATTAAACAAAAAATCCAAAGAGCCGAAAAATCAACTTTCGACATCTTTTCTACACCAGATTAAAGTATATCCACCCCTCACCCCGGTGATATACTTTTGCAGAAAACACGTTTGATGACTAGAGGAATGCTCTACAAAAACTCATTCGAACAATTGCGAAAAATTCGGGCAAGTGCAACTTGGAACAAAAATCTACAGAACCAAACATCCAAAAAATCTCTTGAAGAACAACCCCCTTGATAACGCGTACACTGCCTACGTCAGCTTCAATATAAGGCTTCAGTGTTTTTTGATAAGTAGTAATCGACGAATATAACTGGAAACACACAGAAAGCGCGTTTTTTGCCTTATGCCAAATCGTAATATTTCTTGCTAACCAAATCTATAGAAAGCTGGCAAGTGCCCTACGAGGGATCGAAGTATAGGTTAATGCGGCTATGTGGGAAGAGCTAGACATTGTACTGCGGAAGCTTGCCAATTTTTGATTTCTAAAAAAATGAAAACAATCTTGAAGGGTGTTACTAATCTCAATATTTTTCTTCTACCGTCCACGGTTATCGGTGACAATTTATCGCCTAATGTTTCGGCACAACGCCGTCGTCCGTCGGAAGCTTAAATGTAGTCAGTCTTTTCGATTCACAATCTTCAAGCATCTCCTTCCACTCTACCACGAATGGTCCTGAGTGGACCTAGGGAGTCTGTGAGTAGAGAACGACTCACCGGAGGTGCCACCGTTATTATAGCGGTATCAGTTAGTCGTGATGTGATTCACGAACTGCGATTTTGAGAATTGCAGTCTTGATGACAGCGGACTGTTTGAATAAGTAGACGATTTCATAGTTTGCAGTTTATTAAATACGGCATCAGATCTTCAGTTATAGATAAGTGTTCAATCTTGTTGTTGATCTGGGGGTAACGGACAAAAATGTAGGATGCCGGCTTTTCTTGCGGATATTTGATTTTAGTAGGCTCCCGTAATAGCGTTCGGCTTCATGAGCTAAATTGAACAGCCTGTGCTTTTGAGAATATGTACTGTCATTATATCGGCGATTGTTGTGTCGTTACTTCAATTCAATCGGAGACGGACAACTGCTTCAAGATCTTGAATGAACAATCACAGTTTATAAGCCTCATGCGAGTAAAGCCATGCAATGGTTGGCTACCCCATAAATTCCCAGCTGATGGTGGTAAACAGGACGGTACAGGTCAAATTTTACCGGAAATAGAGTAATAAGAATATTCTTCTGCACACTCTGCACACCTTATAGCCGTGAAATGCGCTATGATTCGAACTATGTTCAACACGGAGGTGGGCTCTGCAGCGGCGAAAAAGAAGAACAAGAATCCAAGTTTGCGAACAGTAGCCACGCTTAGGATAACAAGGTGCCCTTGTGTGTGCCTTTCATTTCCGATAAGTTCAGTGCAGCAATTAAACAATGTATAAGGCGAGCACAACTGCAAAATGATGTTATGCTTGTGAACATTCCGAACGAGAACATCAAGAAGCAGTTGGTAAGGAACAGGCTCTATGACGCAGAATGTCTATCACAGCAATGTATTATCTGCCCATACGGGAAAGTAGGTGATTGCGCGAAAGCAGGAGTAGTGTATAAATTGGAGTGCTTGAACTGCAAGGCGACATATATCGGAGAAACGGGTAGATTGCTGATTTTAGACTTAAGGAGCATCTGGCGGCAAAAAGACGAGCAAATGCAATGTCGCCGTTGGGAAGACACAGAATTGAAACGCACAACGGCGGTGAATTTGACGTTAATTGCACTATTTTGTCATATGAGGCAGAGATTACAGTGAGGAAAACCGTTGAGGCAGCGTGGATTTCCCTTCGAAATCCTAGCATGAACAACAAAAATGAATGTTATCAATAACAGCCGAACTTTTGCCTATTTTAACGATCTGTGAGCGATAGTCTGCACATATATAAGTGAGGATCATAGGACAGCACTTAGCGTCGTCTGTCTCTTCTGTGCGACTAAGTACTGACTCTACTGACTCTCACTAACACCACGGTGGATAAAGGTGCGTCTTCTGATCGACATGCCCCTGTACGTTGAGTTCAGAGCGTGGTCTAAACTCGGCAGTGCGGGGAGGCGTTTGGCGGTCTGGTTCCACAGATAACACTGCAATCTACTTTCAGACCTTTAACGAAGACGATTTTGTCGAAACGTAAGGCCAATAAAACATTCCACCGTATAAACCTGGCACTGGCATAATATCATATGACAATTACAAGAACAAGAATCACTAAAAGCTGGAAAATGATACAAATGGTTATGGTATGCGAGCTAGACGAACAAAAAAGTATCAAAGGCGAGTGAACAGAACATGAACAAAATAACCCTGTGCCTCCCTTTCTTTCCGAAAGGGTGTGTTGCAATAAGACAATGGTTTATACAAGCGCATTGGAGAACGAAGTTGTCTTGGTGAATGCCCCCGAGATAGCATAAAAAGACTACTGGTTCGTAATTTTTAATGACAAAGCTTGCATCACACGAAATTGCATAATATGCCCTTATGTGGAGATTGTTCGAAGTCTGGCGTTGCGTTTCAAATAGAATGTCTAGCATGCTCTGCCATCCAAAGGCTGCTGCATGAAGAAGGCGCAATCGATATTAGTTGAGCGTGCGCGAACGCGATGCGCGCGTATCCTCACCGTTGTAGATCCCGCACCTCATGCGCTCTGCGGCTAATAAAGCCGCGTTCGCACTCGAAGATATTGCGCCTTCGTCATGCAGCAGCCTATACACTGTGAGACGGGAAGGCTATTGGGAGTGCGCGTAAGTGAACATTCGGTTAGCAAAAAGCGTATGGAACGTAATGAATCCGCTAGGAAAACATAGAAAGGTAGATCATAACGGTAATGCTGCATTAGGTGCATAATTTTGGTTTTTGAAAATCAATTATCCACGAGAAAAGCCTTTGAGGCATCCTACATTCTTGTCCGCGCTCCCAGATCAACAAGAAGAAACAATTATAACTGGAGATCTGACGCCATATCTCACATATTGCAAACTATAAGATTGTCTACTCTATTTAAGCACCTCTTTGACATCACGATTGCTCATTCGCGAGACAGCAGCCAGTTGATATCACGACTATTGTAAACATCGCACTTCGTGAAGCACGTCACGATCAACGATACCGCTACAATAACAGTGACACCCCCGGTGAGTCGCTTTCTACTCGCAGAATCTAGTTCCACTCAAGACCATTCGTAGGGCCGAGTGGGAGAAGATATTTGGCGACCAAGATCGTGAATCGAAGTGGCTGACTATTTTTAAGCCTCCGATGATGGCGTTGTGCCGAATTAGGCAATAGATTGTCACCGGTAACGACCTGCACGGAAAAAAAAATATTGAGATCAGTACCACAAAATGCCTAGGCCTCAGGAAAAGAGGACATTTGACATATTAAAGGGTGTGTTTTATGCTAATTTTCTTATCCACCACAAATCGACTAAAAAGTACATGGCGAACCAAGGGAATTTACAAGGAACGAAATTTACATACCTCAAAAATCGTGCCTCTCGCGCCTCTGCCAAGTAGTTGGCAGACGCGCGAGAGGTCATGAATTGTCAGCAACACTGGTTTGCATCCAATTTGCGCCATTTACTAGGTGATTCTGCTCTGATGACTACGCCCTCATTCCAAGTATGAAACACCCGGATTTCGAAATTTCGAACTTGAAGTTCAGTAGTAAATTTTGCCCATTCAGGGTAAAAATTTTAAAACAAGACTATTCTGTTATGTTGTGCCGAACATGATAATGGCTTTCCGAACAGACACCGAACGCGGATGGAGGGGTGGGGGACGTGCGTGGAATGTGCAGCATTACGCTGCAACCACTGGAAGGAGTTGTTTGTTCATCGATCAATTAAAACCGCAGCTTTCTTGGGTGCAACAAGGTTTATTCCCTCTGTTGGATAAATCGGTGGTATATATTTCAATTGGAAACGTTGTGCTGTGTTGGACTAGGAGCGTTTGCCTTGCGTGAAAAGGGCTGAAAAATATTTTTAAACCTTGATTTTTGAGATTATACCGAAGAGATTAACACAAAGCTTTCCGGAGATGGGACAAGTCGCAATGATTGCTTTTAGAGAGTTGAAATTCTCCTGTTCTTTTGCTCAACTATCATCCAAAGCCACCGACTTCACATAGTAAAGTTGAATGAATAGTTAGCTGGTCACATCTCATAACCTCTGCTACGTAAAGGGTAACGCGCTGGTATTTATTAATCTGGCAAACATTTTGGCTTTTGCTGAAATAAGCTTAAAAACATACGTATTGTACTAGTTGATGACGACGTCTCAACCGTGATGAGCATTAGTGTTATAATTTTGTAGTGCAGGGTTTGTGACATATAAGCGTCCTCAATTCTGGAAAATGTGCGGTAAGTGCAAATGTGCTAAGCAAAAGGAGTTCAGTACCAAACAGGGACTGCGAACGTTAAAAATGAATAGCATCAAATGCTCTCCTACCGAAACTCTTTCGTAATCGCACTGCCTAAAAAATCATTCTCATCTACACTATAATGACTTCAGCAGCCGTATCTTACAAGTAAGCCTGAAATTCACATTGCGAGACTTTAGGTCTGAATTTCGAAAATACAAAGCGTTCTGTTTAACAATTAGAACTTGTGTATTACCACATTGCTGATGTTTCTCACTTATTGAAAGGGCAAATATGAGGGAACAACAAGCAGGCCGTAGGCGTGACCTGAAGCAAAAACCTAGCAACGCCGACACCCGCCATGTCAATTGTGGCCTAATTGGGATTAGGGCAGATTGCATTCGGCGCGAACCCCTAGCGCAGTCAGCGCGCAATTCATCCCAACTGTTCGACGTGCTCCCGACTGAGGCACCGCGTTTGTTTTACTGCTGTTACTTACTGCAAGGCACGGCAGAAATGGTTTTGGGTCAAAGTGACTTCGTTTGAGGGAAAGCAAATGGGGTCACTTAAATCCTGCTAAACATACATATACTAACCACTTTCCCCTATTTCAAGCTTAAAAACGATTACGAAATAAAATGCAGGCACATGGGTTTTTGGAAATTAGGCCAAGCACGTACTTCTTCATGTCTCACTCTTAATTACGCTTCAAATGTCACTTTTCCATTTTTGTAGTTTGCGCAACAACAGGCTTATTCATACAGAGACCTGTCTGTAGCCTTACACGTCACCATTCTATGCTGCTGAAGCTGTAAAAATGTTTGCAAGTACAAGCAAAGGCGCAGACGTGGCAACTTATGCAGCGACATCTTTATAGATAATTAGAAATCAATCCAACACAAATATTCAAACAAGTTTATCAACGCAGACTTTGTTAGCCGCTCAAAATGCGTCGTATATATAAATTATTTTCGACGGCAACATTGTAGCCTGTGGATGTAAAGTAAAATCTGCTTGAGCTACTGATGACTATTTGATGGAACACCTAAGCTAGCATTTAGTTTTACCTTGAGGTATATCAAACAACAGTCAGTTTATTGAACCTGAAAAAGACCAAAAAGTTTTTTATGCAACAGATGTGAAACCAGTGCAAATGAATAATCCTCAATAAATTTTTTCAAGCTGAAACAAATTTCTGAGCATGTTTGTTATGCTGAAAAAAAAAGAAATGAGGACAGAAGCATGCGCAAAGCGGAGGCTTGCGCGAAAGAAGTAAACAAAATTATGTGCAGCGCTAGTTTCACTATGCTTCAACAGAAGTACTTGATAAATGACGACAAATTCACCTTGCCTAACTAGGTTTTGAATAGGAAGACAATTCATAAATTGAGTAATTGAAAAAAATAAAAATTCATAAATTGTTGGCGCGCGCTTTCATTCAGTCTGGTTGACGACCCGCACAGGAAATCTCACCCACGGAAACATACCTTGATATCTGAAGATAGGGCGTCGAAAGTGAAGGTTGTTTGCCCCCATAAAAAGTGAAAGTTGTTTATAGGAAATCAAAGAAGAGAAGAAGATGCAAAACAATTAGCGAATGCAGAAGAAGCTCTTGTAACCCTAATGAAACGACGCAATAAGTTCGCAATTTTTCGTTTGGCGGCAATTCGATTTGCAGGGGTTTTCGCTACAGGGAAAACTCACAGCAAAGGGGAAAACGAGGGAAAGATAAATTGTTCTTTGTGATTAGCTTGGAAACAAACATGTTTTGGAAGTGGTGATTGCTGAAGAAGGAGATAAATGAAAACCATGCAGCACAAAGATTTGTTTCTTCCTAAGTCGAAATGCACGTCAGAGGAACCTACCCTAATTTCACGTGTATAAAAAGCGAGGGATTTTTTTCTTAAGTCGAACATCACAGACACGCCGGAAGAAATCGCGATCAAAGAACTATTTACAGTGCTGCATATTGCCTGAGAGTATCGTGCGGCATCAGTTCGTTTTCCGAAGCACAACGAGGCGGCTGAGCGACAGGCTCGGAAAATCGAAAAAGGTGCGTCTTATACGCGTAAAATTGAAGTAGTTTTTATTTATTTATTTATTTATTTGATGCACTCTAGGTGCGCCTAAACATAAAATCGAGAATGGAAATGCGAGAATAGCACGACCGATCAAAAATTACTAAAATCAAAATAAAAACAATCCTAACAATGGTTAGTAGGAAAACACAAGCTAGACTTGCTCAAGAATCTCATTTCTAGTCATCTTCTTGTAGTTTTGCTCCAACGATCGCCAATACAAACATTTGCAAGCCATTGTAGTACTGATTACGATACGAAATTGCAGTTTAGAACCCAGGAAACACCATAATGCGTAGACGACCACAGAATAAGCATAGACCTAAAAATCCGGTATTTTTAGAATATTAAGAACATTTACTCGTTCTAATTTTTTTCGAAAAACATGAGAATTTTCACTTTGTATCAAGTCTATCGGAAGAAGTGATATCCATCTAGCTGTACGGCAAATAAAAGACTTGAAAGTTTTCAGGAATCTTCTATTCCAAGTTTGCGATAATGAAGATAAAACTCACCTGTTCTCTGACTGCAAGGTTTGAAAACCCAGTATTTGCTAGCTTAAGTTTTGTTTCCAATCGCAAGATTCGAAAACAAAGCACAAGGTCGCTTACAATCCGTCTGTATTTCAAACTATGGAGATCTAAATTTTAAGACGATCGTGGTACGACGGTAAAGATTGCGGATATCCTAAGTCTGGAAAACATCTGTAAAAAAGAATTCTCGTAAAAGTCTTTTGTACTTTCTCCAGTTTTTCAGTGCTTTTCTTGAGGAAAGGGCTCCATACAGGAGATGCATATTCCAGATGAGGTAATACGCAGCTCTTGTACAGTTTTAAAAAAATTTCCGGATCTTTACTGTGTATGCTTCTGAAAATTGTAAAAAGGACTGAGTTTGACTTTTTCACCACCAACTCAAGGTGAGAGGAAAAACTGAGTGAAGTGTCAATCAATACTCCGAGGTCTCTTACAACACACTCAGATAATCGCCGGGGGCAAGCGGCCATGCGAATTTGGAGCAAGCGGGCACCGGAAAAATAGTTCGCTGATTTTTTGTGGTCCGCTTGCAGAAATTTGGAATAACTTTGGCCAATTTATAGACGAACGCTCGAAGATCTACCGCGCTTTTTCTATACATAAGTTGCGGCACAGTGGCAGCATTTTCGCGGACATTCCGCGAAAACATGCAAAATTATTGGGAGCCGCACGTTCCTTTGTGGAGGACCGCGCAACCCCCAGGTACTTTCCGCTGAAAGAAAGTACCCCAAACTTGGGTAATAAAACCATCGATGGCACCTCTGCCACATAGAGTCTCATCTTTTCTCGGCGCATGCCCGAAACCGCGTAAAAAGAGTCCGAGCGCCTGCTGAAAGTTTGGCCAGCGCTCGCTGAAAGAGATTGTTTGACGAGCGCTTGCAGAAAATTTTGTATTGATGCCCGCTTGCAGAAAACGGAAATACCGCCCGCTGAAGATTTGGCCACGCCCCGAAATCCTGCTGACCGCCGCAGAAAAGCGCGAGTTTGCGGACCGCCTGCCCCGGCGATTATCTGAGCAGGAGCTCTCAAGAGCAACACCATCGCAGCTGTAAGTAGCGCAAGGGGAATCACCGAGATGCATAACAGTATTTTGGAGGTAATGACAGGAATTTGCCAATTTTTGACCAAGCTACTTTTGGATTGACAAGGAGAGCGCTTCAAAAGCTTCTGTCTGTTGGTCTTCGGAGTAGCAAAAGTAGACTTTGATGTCATCAGCAAACATCTGAACTTTGATCTCGGGGTGTGTCTTCAACCATGTTGGTAGCTCGGCAACATACACCAAAAAAAGTAAGGGGGAGAGGATACCACCTTGTGGTACTCCACTACCACAATGGTGTCGCTTAGAATATTTATGACCCACTCGCACTGTCATTCCTCTGTCCTCGAGATAGGACGAAAACCAGTGAAGTAAAAAGCCTTTGATGCCATAATTGTGAAGTTTGAAAAGAAGTTTTTGATGGTTAACTTTGTCAAAAGCTTTCGAAAAATCAAAATATGTAACATCCACCGATCTACCACTCTAAGCGCTGTAAGCCAATCGAAAATGGAATCTGCGAGAAGGGTCGTTGTGGAACCACCAGGAACCCATGCTGTTCGATGGGGATGACATTTTTCTCGTCTAGCCATTCATAGAGTTTGCTCCAAATTAGTTTTTCAAGAATTTTGCCAGAAGAAGGCATAATGATAGGCCGAAAGTTTGATATGATGTTGACATTTCCCTTCTTAGGGATTGGAGTTACAAAGGCCTCTTTCCAGATTTTGGGCACAACGCCAGTGTGAAGAGAGACTGTATAAATGTACGAGAGCGGAAAACTAAGTGGTACAGCAAATTTTCTGTGTACTGTCTGTGGAATTCCATCGTAAGTGGCTGTGACCATCGATTTGAGCTTGCTAAGTATCTTAAAGACGCTTTCAGTAGTGGCTTGTACATCACCACAAGATTCAGGGATATACATAATCGCTTGAGCACCTTAATCAAAAGCTTCGTCAACATCATGATCAAACACTTTTGGAAAAAAAGCCCCAAGGCATGTGCTTTCTCCTGATCACCCTTGAAAGTATTTCCCAGATCATCTAACAAAGTCGCTTATTTCAGCCCGCCTTTGACCTTGGACTTGTAAAAACGAAAGAATTCTTTGCTTCCCCTCTTGGCTAGTCGATGCTCGTAATTAGACTATCTCTTCAGATGATGATTTAAGTCTAGACAAACTTTTCTGTAGCGCGGATCCGCTTGTGGATTTGGGCACTCGAAAAATAGTCTTGTTTTTGGTAGATCAAATTGCAAACGTGGGCCGGATATCCAAAAGGTGGTTTTTGTTTCGACAACGGTACATACTGCGCAAAGATTTTATATAGAATCGTGCAAAATCGATAGTAC